TGTAAATAAAGCATTGCTTTACTGGGGTGAATGATACAGTGCAATGAGTCTCAGCCTCTGATCTTCCATATAAACAGTGAAAAGTTGAGCTGCTCTGCCAAGAAGAAAAACTATGCAGAGCCAAACAAACCAGACAAATCCATAAGCTGTTTTATCCTTTTTGGCTTCTTCTTCAATGAATTTACTTTTGATTAAAGTTTTAGCTGTTGTTGGCAAGCATTCCACTGACATGGAAGCTATCACTGCAAAGTACTTCCCAAACCACGTTTTGCTTCAGCTTATAGTTTGTTCTTTCATGAGGTGGAAAATTCAAAATGAAAGGTAGTTCATGACCCCTGCGCCCTTATGATGTACAGTACTGTGCAAAAATGTTGGTTCTCGAAGTAAAGTGCCAGATTCCTTGTCCTTATTGTCTTTATGACTGTGTGCTCAGTCTCAGTCTTGGCATACTGCAGAATTAATTTTGGACCAATGCATGATGAATGAGAATCTGAACATCTGCACAGTAGTGGAGGTTTCTGTAGCAGTATGTTAACTGGTTGGAAAAACATACTGATAACCAACCTACTAAAGCCCTTAAGTAATTAAAGTCAGATTAATTAATTTTTCTTCTCTATCTCTGAAACAAGCTTATTAAGACTTTTGGAAGCTACTTGTGCATTACAGGGCTTGATTCTTCATCTGAACTGCTTGTCCCATGCTGGGATATCTTCCCCTCCCTCCACACCAAAATGTCAGATAAGGGATCTGTGTCCTACTGTTTCAGTAACTTTCCAAAACTGGGACGGTGTTTTGGCAGGTGTCCAGGTGTGTACGCACACCAGTGTGAATGGTGTGCACAGTATGACATTGTGAAACCTTTCTGAAACTGAGGACACAACATTCACACTCACATCATGCTATGTTTTGCTTTCACTAACACTGGAGAGAGTTAAGTGACAAGTGACAGGAAATGAGGGGAAACAGGGCAGAAGAAGGTGCCAGGTCATGGTTAGAGTACAGAGTATACGCAAATCAGTTAGGTCCCTACACTGACCACGTCTCTCATAAATGCGACTTATATGTCTAAATTATTTACATTAAGTGCATGTTAACATTTTTTTTTAGCAGATCTACATTTATGACATTACATGTTTAAATAAAACCATAGTAGAAAAGCATAGAATAAAAGTGTAAGGCCGTGCTCAGAGAGAATCGGAATCAGCTTTATTGGCCAGGTGTGTCGGACACACGAGGAATGTGACTCTGGTACATCGGCTCTCAATGTGTATGTACATATCCCCATGCAAGAGGCAAGTAAACAGTAAACCAGCATAAGGCTGTGTAATATAACAAAGTTTCAAAGGTGTGAAAAAAAAGCAGCTCTCCCCATTCATTTCTATAGGGGACCGTGTTCACCGCAGCTGGCAAAACGACGCAACTTTGTGCAACTTTAACATCATCTGGCAAATGTGCTGCGTTGACCAATCACATACGGGGGACATTCGGGAGCTGGACGCCCATGGGAAAAAGCCTCTTTTGTTTACCTTGTTAGCATGAACATTCACTTTATTATCAAATTTGGGCCACAGTTAACTCACCATAACCACACACCATGCATTTTCATTAGTACTTGATGTTAAACAGTATTTTTCTATCTATCAATGCCGACACACTGGTGGTAGAACTGGTGCTAAGGTAGAGTAGGCTAGCATCATGGCTAACAATACACAATGGAAATTCCCGGGCTGGAAACATAAATGAAGCCACTCATGTCGACTCATCACAATGTGGCATACTGTACATGCCACGCTAATTTCACTACTTTGGGAACATATGTTGTCACCTGTAATGTAAGGAATTTATGGGGGAAGACGCAGCACTCATTGGTCGGATTTACCGACTTTGGAGCTACTTGAAAGGGAGTATTGTTTCCACTACTTGGTAGGACTTAATGGCAAGTTGAAAAAGAACTATGTCTGTTAATGCCTTGTTTCTGTAGAGAGAACTGTTGTGAGGCTGGAGAAGTTACTATGCCTACATTTCTCAGTTACCCGCTTTGTTTAGAGTGTTACACATGTCTTTTCATTGGTACATATACCGTTGTTTACCTATCTATGAAGGAGAAATTCTAATTTCAATTTAATTAATGCTGTTGTGGTTCGTCCTGCTATCCACTTTCATATTCTGCATCAAACATGTCAGGTAGAATTTGAGGTACTGTCATTATGAAAAACGTAGCTTATTTGTCAGAGTTTTTTGTTTACGTGTTGTCCTGGCTTCCTGACCGGTCTTGTGTCAAAGTGTTCCCCTATCAAGATGTGTTTCCCCTATTCAAAACTTGGTTTAATGTAGCTCCCCCGTCAGTAGTTGCGGTTAGGATAATGTTAGGATTCAGGTTAGGGGAATCACATCTCGATGGGGAAACAGAGTTTGACACAACACCGGCAACAGGAGTTCGTGAACTATCCTCTCGTTTTCAGGAGGAGGCTCTAGGGTTTTATCGTTCTGAAATAATTACAGACTATTTGTAATTATGAGGGGCGCAAAGCTAATCTAGAGGTACCCAAGATTAAACATTAAATGGCTGGAAATGAGCAAAATGAGCAGCCATTGGCTCTGAACAGTTGTGGAGGTCATGTACAGTATATTTTCAGATAATGGACTGTGGTAAATTGCATTACATTTCTGCATTGATGCATCATGAATCATGGGAAGGCAGTGGTCAGTTTGGTTAAGAGCTCAGAATTAATGGATGGTGTTGCAACTGCCTGAGAATGCTGCTCACATCCTGAAATCATAAATTCACAGTCCATACTGCTCCTTTGCAAAAAGCTTAGCAACTGCTTCTCTGTGATGGATGACGGTTTCCGCAAACGTCGGGAGCAGTTTTGGAGGAAAACAATTATGAATGAATTTCTGGTGCTGATCCAGCTTCTGCGCCTGTGTGCATGGCTTTAATACCCCTCTAATATCTAGTTGGATTTGCACAAACAGTCATGATTTTATTTAGTATTTTACTTATAATAAAATGTAATTGGAAAGTTCCAACAAACAGTGATGAACAGAGCTTTCTAAACTGTGAACGCTTCACTCTAAATCACCACATGACCATCATGTTTTAGATGGGCCTATGTCCAATTTTTGAAAAGACCTTCATTTTAGTTGTTTTACTAAGGATGGACAAAGGCATCAGAACACTAGCGGACATGCACTTAACTTTTCCTTCTAAGGCTTGGTTTGCTTATAATTTGGCAGCTGGAGGCAAAATGAACCAAGTGCATCAAAAGAAACATTTCTTCACTCAGGTCAAAATATAGAAAGCAAACTGCGAGTGAGATTGAACACAGCCGGCGTTTTGAGGTCTACTCCATATGTAGACCAACAGGCAGAACAAGGCACCAACACCAACCAGGTTAGAGGTTTATCTCCCAAAGGGGCCAAAGGTTTTAAAAATGGAGCCTCTGATAAAAGCATTCCCCAAATGGTTTACATGACCCACACTGTAAAATTTATGGTTGCATGTCAACATGCGCGCAAAAGGTGGAAAGAAACAAACAGAGGAAACAGAACATACAAACCCAGCTGTGCAGCACTGCGTCACAGGACGGGTGATGTTCTTTTAATGAGCTGACGGCAGATATAAGTGTTTGGGGTTAGAGCGCTGTGGTCAAGGTGACCAAATCTGCCCAACAGAACACCCAGTGTAGAGGCTGATAGGAGTAGAGCAAACACACACCTCTCACTCAGTCAGTCACTATCCAGGGTGTGTCTTAGGGAGGAGGGGAGAAGAGCTGACACAAGTGTATGATTGAGTGTATGTGTGACAGAGCAAGTGACAGAGAACAACTGAGAAAGAATACAGATGATCCAGGATCTCACATAAAGGAAAGCAAGATTCTCCATACAGTACACTCAGTACTGTATTAGCTTAACAAAAACTTGGCTTACTCTACCACTCATCCTTACAATTGTAACAACTGAATATTTTTTTATACTAAAGCCACTGCATAACTTCACTACCACTGCACAAGCCTTCCTAACAAGAAAACAAATTGACTGTTGTTGAAGTCTGTGAGTCAGATTTGCTTTGAAACTTATGCTTATGCATTTCCTTCTCCATACAGTCTCTCTTGTCCACAGCTCTACAGTATTGGACCTCATTTTACAGACAGATTATAATGCATTTGACTGTCAAGTTTAATTGTCAAAGATCTAAAAAATAAAATAAAATAAAAACCTGCATTCTGGCTGAGCAAATTTCCTCTATCTATGTTGTCCATGAGATCTGAAGCACTTTGAGAATTATTCCACTTGAAGTTGAACAATTATCATTCATAAAACTGTAATAATTTTTTCTGATGCGCTCAAGATTTCGATTTATTTAGAGTAAAAAATTATGTCTCAGGATGTCCCTGCTAGAACCTGGAATTTCACAGACAAAAATCAGAAAGCAAATAAAACAGCTTGAGTGAAGAAAGCAAATAGGTTTTGCTAAGTATGCTTGGATGTTTTGTATAAAGTTTTGGGTATAATAATGGGTAAACACCATTTAACGTGTATACTGAGCTTCTATATGAGTGCTCTGCCATTCTTTGGCACATTTAATTGTGTATTACTGACTAACTGGTGAACTGACCCTGTCATCAGTCATCTAATCCATGTTTGTGTGAGAGTGGAACTTAACTAAAGCAACTCAAAGATATTGTAGACAGTGATTACTGCAAACTGAAGACTATAATTCATAGCCTCTTTGCTAAAAGACACAGTACACTAAGTTTAATACTAAGGGAAAGGTTCAGTGATAAAAACTAAGCAGGCTGCAAACAGCCAATGTACTGCAGGATTATATAAAGGTTATACTGTATAAGTGGGAAGGAGGTAGCATTTTATACACTTGTGCAATGTAATGCAAACTAAGAGAGGCATAGTTTGTTCTGTGTTTGCCCCCATATAAATAGAGTACAGTGGACCACAAGGAGGACAAGACAACCACACAAAAAAAGCTGCTACAAACTGACCCATGGGATCCAGGACGAACTGGTCCTGAGTGACAGCAAGAGGAGGCTGAACGCCGACCGTCAGCTTAGACGACTGTACCACACAACTGGCCTTCACCTTCACCTGGAGAAAGAACAATGAATTGAGAGAGGGAGAGGATATAATACAATCCAAGATGAGAAGAAGAGAAACAAGAGAAATGTGCAGTTAGTGTGCTGCTACAGCTCACCTGTACGCTTACTGAAGGGACAGGCAGACCATTGATGTCTTGGATCAGAGCTCGCTGTAGACAGACAGAAGGAATTATGAATGTCTGTATATGTGAATATGGCGTAAGGATGTGTGTGTGCATGTGCCTATGTGTGTTTACCGATGGGTTGTCCATGCTGGAGGACACAGCAGCTGTAACAATCAGGTCTGTCTCACTGTCGGCTTTAGGCAGGATGTCTGAAATAACAACAGCTTAATCCCAACACAATGAACCAGAGATGCTCCTCAGTCAATGTTTCACAGATTCACAAAACCAGAGCTACTCAAGACAGTTTGTGACTTGTTAAGGCCACAAACATTAATTACCAGGTGTACAGAGAGAATCAGTGACAATGCTCATCTCTGGTTATTCAGGTAGGACATTTAAACAATAAAAAATACAAAAAAGTCTTGGGACCAACAGGCTTCTGTTTTCTAGCTTTAGGTTTTGGTGGAGTTTAGTGAAGTTAGTGTTTAACTGACCTATGGTTGTACATTGACACCGGAGTGGCCTCAGAGAACTTGCAGCTACACCTGAAGGACACCTTGTGGCATTTTCATCTCTCAGGAGTTTGATATCACAGCACAGTTCTAGTGACTTTTACTGCGACTTCAGCGGTGGTAACATGTTCTGCTGTCACAGATCTCTGTTCAGAAAAACAGTCGCCTACCCTGAGTTCTCGTGGCCTCTCTGATGATCTTCTGCAGCTTCTTCATCTCGGCATCCATCTGCTCATAGTCAGCCTCCCTGGCGTCAACCTTGGGCATGGAGAAAAAGGTGGGGTCCGTACCCATGTATGAGCACAAGAGGTGGCCATCAGAACTCAGACTGACCACCAGCCCCTTCAACTCCCTGAAGAGGAAAGGAGAAGACTAATCAAATTCAACACCATGTTAAGTGTCATATGCAGGTATACATGGATTACAAGAACACATTAGGTTTCTTGGTTCCGCCATGAGACCATTTAGGGTAGGAAAATGTGAGACTGGGATTTTATCTGGAATGCCCCTTGGTCTCTGGAAGAAATCTGAAACTGATAACAGTTTTGCATTAGTAGCCTTTTCTTTACAGTTGTTTTTTGCTTTGAGAGAAAATATTTGTGTTCGTTAGTGTCCGTCTGTGATGAGGACAAGATGGAAACAGGGAGAGCATGAGTGATGCAATAATGTGTGTGGGTACTAACTGGTTGCAGATGCGTTGTAGTTCCAGTAACACACACACACGCACACACACACACACACACACACACACACACACACACTCAAATACAAACACACACTAGGGGGTTTCAGGTCTAGAGCAGCGGCTGGCTCCACACCTGCACAAGAGGGTGTCTGAGGGAATATAAAACTGTCACTTTAACTACTGTGGAACCAGAAGCACAACAACACACACACACACAGATAAACATTCATGACTAACTGCTATAAAAACACACACAACCATAAATAAAAACTATAGCCGCATTTATACACACAGAAATGCCTTTTACCCATACCCTTCACTAAAAATGAGTTCCCACCACCTCATATCATAAACAGACAAGAAGACACAGCAGTTGTAGTTAGAGAGGTTAACTACAACACAAAACAGTACATAGCACCTACACTGCTAGAGTATGAGTAGGAGGCATAAATATAATCAATAAAAACATTAGTTGTGGGTTGATTGTCCTGAAAAAGCTAAAACATGTCACTACAAATATCTGTTATTGAGCTGGATAACAAAACCTAGACAAAAGAATAATTACCATCACCTTGACCATGAAGGTTAAGATACAGCTCTTTGTGACATTTGCTGGAAGTTTTTATGAGATGACTTCATTTTTTTCTTTTTCTGGGTCCTTTTAGGTCTGTTTTTTAAACAGTCATTTATGCTTGTCAGGCTCTGATTTTCCAGAGGTCTGTGTCAGGATGGACCTTGTGAAGACCTCTAGCAGGCGAGGACAGTGCACAGAGGCTGATCATTTAATCCAGGGTTGGCAAAATTAAGTGATAAAATTCAGTACAGCAAAAAAAAAAAAAAAAAAAAAAAAAAAAAAAAAAAAAAAAAAAAAAAAAGAGCAAAGAGTCCAGGAGCACTGCTGTAAATGACAGAGATCCACAGTAAGCTGCTGGAGTGACTGTGTGTGTTTGCTCTGTGTGTTCCTCTCCCACACTGTGGGAGTCCCGCCGACACCGAACAAGACAATGACTATCAAGTGCTTTAAAACAACACAGCCTCACACTAAACAACACCAAGATGCACACAATCCCCATCCTGTAATTAGTTCTAGGATGTCTAGAACATCTACAAAAACTTAGGAGTTCAGTAAGATAAAGAGTTGCAAAAACATTTACCGTCTTAAAAACAAATGGCAAAAGTTTAAAATCAATTCTAAAAATAAGTGTCTTACATCCAACACACACTAGGTGTAAAATGAACATTTTCAGTTTGTCCTTCCTTAAGGTAAATGTGAGGAGTCTTTTATAAAGATTTATTTCTCCTGAAAAGTGCATTAACGAAGATGTTCCCCACTATCTGACAAACCCAGTGACAGCGGCACAGTACGTGGCGTCTGACATGGAGAGGGTTAAAAGCAGCCAGAGGACTCAGACTGGATTCAGATGTGGCGTTCTTCCGTCTGGATGTGTTAGTGTCTAAAGCTAACCTGTTTGTTTTGGTAACATTAGTGACCTAGCAGTTTTTCCTCCCCACTGTCGCCAAGTGCTTGCTCAAGGGGGGATGTGTTCGGTTTTTCCTCTTCTATAATAATAATAATAATAATAATAGTAGTAGTAGTAGTAGTAGTAGTAGTAGTAGTAGTAGTAGTAGTAAGGTCTAGACCGTACTTTGTAAAGTGTCCTGAGATGACTTTTGTTGTGATTTGGCTCTATACAAATAAAAAATTTAATTGAACTGAATAGCCTGGTCATGATTTTACCTTTGTGTTGAATTAATATGATCTTAATTTGGTAGTAATTTGAGTTTTGTGCAATGTTAGTGCTTTGTGTCACATTAGCAGTAACTAGAGCGTACTACTGGAGTGACTCATTTACTGTTAGTATGCCAACGCTAGCTTCAGACTGGAGACTGCATTTTATACAGTTTGTCCCAACCAGACATCTGTAGCCAGGAAACAGGAAGTGATGGGAGGAGGGGCCAAGACTGGTTAGGAGCAGCCTATAGTATTAGTTTGTTTCAAGTCTCACTAGGTTGAAAAAAAATTAGGAAGTTGGGTAGAGCTTTAACTTTCTAACATTGTTCTACAGTTTCTATTGTCAGGAACCTCCTGTGTTCCTCAAATCCACCAATACAGAAACGGTAACATCAGACACTGTGTTTTGTCAAGGGTTGTACTCACAGGAAGTTGGCGACGCGAATGGCCACAGGCACAAAGGAGAGTTGGGCCACCCATTTCAGTGTCACATCTTGGTAAACCAGCAGCATGTTGGTGTGGTTACCAAGCAACATGCTGGTTGTGCCATCTGTCACTAAACAAGACCACAAAAAGTTTGTTAGAACAGCTGTTCTTGGCCAGTTATGATGATCAGAAAAACATAATTATCCTAATTACATTGAGTTCATGTTCATAAGGAAAGTAACTATGAAATCAAGAGTACAAAAAGCCTCTAGGACAACGGTCACGCTCACATTACTTAAAGCCTAAGAATGACTGTGTAGGAGACGTGATAACACATGGCATAAAACTGTGGTTATGCTATTACTGTCCATAAGCAAAGTAGAGTGCTTTCATCAATCTATTTGTCACATGTCAGTGTGGACTCAAGCAGGCATGTCAAACATCTATCACAAGCAATATGTGAAACAACAAATTGATTACAGTGTATTCTTCTGGTGGCCGCTTGGCCAAATTTCCTAAAAATTCTAAACTTCTTCTGAGAATGTTTCAAATTCATGACTTCTGTCTCAACAGAAACAATAAGCTGGGAGACATCTAGCTTCTCTTCCTCTATATGTCTGGCCCCTTTCTTTCACTTGCAAAAGAGATCTTGGCCTCAGTAAGGCTTAACAATAATAAAAAAAAGTCTTTCCTTTCACATAACTATGCAAAAACATATGCATTTTCTTTGGTTGTCTGTAATTATTAGTTTGGGTTATTCTTTTTTCCAGGCAAAAGGTTAAAGCAAACTTTCGCATATGTGTATTCACTATGTAGTCGGATAGATATTGCATCATTATGATCACCTACTAAAATAGACCGAACAGAATTATTCCACTAATCCATGTTCTATGTTATTTAAAGACACAAAACATAAAATATTCATTACAATAAAGATTTCGCTTTACACCCGGTGCATGTATAAAAGTTTCTCATTTAGGTCTTTCATGTTAACACAAGATCAACTTTTATAAGTGTATGTATAGTTAGCTGTACACTTTCTGCTGTAACTCATGGCTAGAAACATTAAAGGTAAATACTATTTATGTCACACATACACCCCCAGTCAATCCAGATCTGATCCTGTCTGAGGCAAAACTTTTAGGTCTTTCAACACCTCACACTACAGGATCAGTTGGCCTAGGGGTGGCTGTGGCTCACGAGGTAGGGCAGTCGTCTCCTGACCAGCAAGTTGGTGGTTTGACTCCCCACATGCCTAAGTGTTGGGAAGGGCAAATTGGGTTGTAAATCAGGTTATTTATCCTGCAACGTGGGGTTGGCTTAAGTATCACGCATGTTTGATATTTGTGAAAATCTGTTAAAGCTGTTGTTATGACTGTGATTATTAAAATGATAAAATCCTCTAGCGTGGAAAAAGCCTTACCACCTAGAGAGAACTGAGATGGTGGCCAATGCAAAACCAACACACCTTGCTTGCACACAGCTGAATGCACAAGTTGTAATATAGTAACGGTGGCTGGCAGGGTGGTACAGTGAAGGGGTCAAAATGACAGAGTGTGTGTTGGTGCCACATCAAAGCAAACACACACACCTTCTATCTGAGCATTATAATTATAGCCTAATTATATACGTTTTGCTTTCGTGTTCAAACCAAGCACCTCTCAAACTCAACTCTCTCTGGCCTTTTCTCTGTTACTCTTCAATTCCTCTGCCCTTATCTGTACACACCCTTCTTTTCTTTCTCCTCTCTTCTGACCTCTGCCTTTTCCTCATCTCTCCCTAGCTCCTTCATTTCTTTGTTCCTCAGTTCACAACTACATTTTCTAACTTGCTGCTTTCCCCTCTGTTTTTATTTTCTGGCCCTCTGCCTGTAGTTCCACACAACCAGCTCACTAGTTCTGTCTTTTTGCCCTCTCCTCATCTTTCTCCAAAGTGCCTGCTCTAGTTTCTGGAATCTTATAAAATGATAAAAGCAAAATCATTCACTCACTCCTACATACACAGTCCTCTGAAAATGTTTACTGGCTCCTACTACTGCATATCCTCATTTTGGTTACAATTTTATTTTAGAATGGATTTTAAAAATAAACTGTTACAAACAATTGAGTGACAAGTTCCCTCTGTACAACTCTAGGCAAGAACCTGCATTTATTATGCATGCCAACTTTTCTTGTAATTTGTCACCTGTCTATCTGTGGATCATATGGTTTTGTTTCAAACAGAGAGATGTAGGATCTCATTGTGGTTTGAACACAGGACCTGAACTCTGGCTAGACTGTTTTGGATTAGCAGTCAAGCCAATAAAGCGATCTGAGAAAGAAAGGAACAGACAAACACAGGGGGTAGAAAGCTAGAGCGAGGGCAGTGGTCCAGCAGAGGCAGCTGTGCGGCTGAAGGCTAGCAGGGGAGCATTAGGAAACACTCATGAGATCACTGCTGTCTGTCCTCCCCTGCACTACATGCTCAACTATGAGGGTTGTGTAGAGATCCAGTAGATGGTTCTTTGGCCGTGCACCATAAAGGAACCCTTACTGAGCGGCAGCTCTGACCATCACAGTGTCACTATATGTCAGCCTGTTAACAGCACGCTGAAGTACGGGTATGAAACGCTGCAGCAGCAGTATGTTCCCTGGAGTTTGTCTGTCATCCCGCCATGTGGGAGTTTTTATGTGGTTTTGATTGTTGTAAGAATCATGTCCCAATAAAAGCTGCTTTGTTGCGCTGGCACATTGTGTATTGAATTTACAAGAGTAATTTAAATAATCTGAATAATATCTGGAACAGATAGTTGAGGGCCCTTTGAAAGCAGAGATATTTGAATTCTACAATTGAAAACAGGTATCAGAAGAAAGCTCTTGGCTGCTCTTGCACTCCTTCCATCAATCATCTCTTCTGGATCCTTCCTCCAGTCTATTTTTTGCTTTCCTTCACATATTTTTTCTTCCATCTGACAGCTCTCTAGTGTATTTTCAGATCAAGTGTAATACTGCCAACAAATGGTTCTATTGTACACTGTTGCGTGAACTGAAACAGACAGAAGCTTTTGTTGATGTAAAGAACGCTCATAAAAAAGTTGTTTATTGTTCCATGCTCAACAAGGTCATACACTGACCATTTATTCCCCTGTATGTAAGCACCATTCTGGAGGTCTGACCATATCTGGATAATTACAATTGGTTGAGATGATATGATTGTACCTGCAATCAGTAACTACACATTACAGGTCTGCAGTTGTACTGTGTCACCTGACACATACACACACCAACCATCACATTCAGTTCAAATACTTTGTCTCATTTTGTCTTTTCAGTAAGTGATCCATCTATCAAACTGTAATCATGTGTCCACAGAATGTTTCTCCCCATAACAACCTTGTTTTAACACTTTATACAGTGTCCTAGCAGTGAATCCTAAAACCTGGAACTGAGTTAGCATTTTGCACTTCTAGTTCCCTCACCCTGTCAATGGACTTTTTGAATGAGCTTTTGGTTAGACGCCTGAAATAAGGTCTACGGCTAACACAAGGCCAATAAATTTTCATGTTGTGTTCTTCATTATAAAATACATCAGTAAATACCCTGCTCATGAATTTTGATGGCTTTAGTTAAAAAAAGCTGTTGCTAACATGTGGCTAAATGAGACTACAGAGACTGTCTGGGATGTCAACTGTCCTCATGAAGATTCATCTACTCACTAGTCTGCCTTTATAGCCTTGTTACTTTTAAACTCATGCACTTACAAACTATTCTAACTAACTATCATAACCATGATCACTAGCTAGATCAGGTCTCCCTAAGAGAAAAGGATTTTGTAGAAGAGGAAAGCCGCTAAGCCAAACTAGAAGTTGGAAGCCATGGTAGTGATGCTGGAATCATGGGACTGTGGTCTAGTTTGTTTATAGCATAACAATACCTTTTTACTTTTGGTGATCATATTTGGGATTCAGAAATAATAAAAGTCGTGTTCACTGGTTCTTAACAAAATGTGTAAGTGTCATCAACAGTTGTTTGTTATAGAGCTTATTTTCTACAATAACCCTATGGAAAAATCCAATTGGCTTTTTGTCGAGGGAACCAGGGCGATGCCAACTTGCAGGTTGGCCTACAAAAATATGTCATCCCTACAGCACCCTGTGACAGTGCCATTTGAGATCATTTAATGGTGTCTGTAGATTATAGCCATTTCTTTGAAATAAATAAATTATTGTAAAATATGTAGATACCAAGCAACAATGCAAAGTCTGTATATATCGAACTCTACATCTGTGTAGCTGCATTTCTTATGCTATGCATTCATCGTGCACCATGTGTTTATATACTGCAGTGTTCAATGTTGGTTTTAATGCATGTAGCAGAGCTACTCCAGTTATTCCATCGTGTTCTGCCAAAGGCAGCTTTCTGCATAGCCAGTCATGTGGCACTGGGCCTCTGCACAGATTGTTTTGTTTTGTCTATTTTGTTCATGTATTTTCAGACCTTTGGTTATGACAGGCGCACTGATGCATGGTAAGTTTCATGTTACTGTCCTGTACTTTAATCCAGGGTCAACACATTTGAGCTTTACCAATGATGCAATGGCTAAATTTGACTCTGCCCCTGCACATACTGCACTCAGGTCTCTGTAAGACAGCAACACAGGGATATGGGAGAGGAGAGCGTGAGCCCTCTGCCTCAAAATTTAACTTGCCTGTCACCTTTAGCTCTCTGTATTAATTTTCTTTAAGATTCCTGTCTGGTTTGTAGTCAAAACCAGCCAGTATTAGCTTCTTAAACAGATCAGGTGTGCAATAGTAGAGCAACACTAGAGCTGAAAAACTCTTGTGGGACAGGAGGAAAAGGAGCTGTAAAGGCTAAATATCCATTTCTAGTTATGTTTATCTGTAGTTGTTGCCCTGTAGGCCCTATGCTAAAAGTCCATTGCCCTGGTTTACCTGTGGAATAGGGCATGAAGCAGCTGGGGTTGAACTCCAGCTTCTTCATAAAGCGCATCTGACCATTGTCTCGAACACAGTAGAGGTTCCTCTCACCCAGGATGAAGATGGAGGAGGAGGAGTGAGAGAAGGAGGGCACCGAGAGATCCAGGGCCTGTTCTCCCAGGACAAACACCCAGTCAGGCTGCAAGAACACAGAAAGTTGGAGCACACAAAAGACCGGGTACTGCGTATAATAGCAGCCCCACATGTACTGTCCGTACATGTACCCTATACACCCAAATCCATCTCTTTTGTTAGATGTTGCCATTTTATGAAGGCAGAAATATGGACAAATGTGTATGGTAGCATTCATCGTTTTTATTCTGTGCAAATATGCATCTGATATGTGATTATGTGGTCCAAAACTACTGCTCCAATACTAATGAACTTCTGTGGGAATGGTGGGAGTACTAAAAAGATGTGCAAACATTTTCTTAATGAAAATTCAATACATTTAAAATTCACACTTATTATTAGCACCAACAGCATTATGGTTTGGATAAATGACATAGTATGTTCAACCCAAACATCTTTGTTCATGCTAGAAGTGCTAAGGATGGTTCCCAGTAACCTCACCTCACAAAGTCACAGGTCACAGCACCTTTCCAAACACACATTGTCAGTTTTAAGTGTATCTCTGGTAGCTGGTATGTGTGTGGCTCACCATGAGCCTCTTGCCTCCAGTCTTGACGGGCAGGTCAGGATCCTGTCGACTCTCTGCCTCTGTAGCTACAGCCAGAGTCTCATACCTGACAGTGAGAGAGACACAAGCAGCTGCTTATAAAGACTTAAGAATCTCTATGGATCACATTCAAATTCCTGTTAAAGCAGTGTCTGTGCGCTGTTTGTCACTCAATGTTCAATAAGCAGCAAATTGTTTCATTTATTCTTGCAAACATGCTAAACTATTCTGGGGCAATGACTGAAGTGCTTTAGCCCATACTTTCCATAAATATAGGGAATCCTTGGTATTTTCACTTTCATTTTCTGTTCCTTAGAATTGACCAACGTTTTCGACATTGACTTTATTTACTGTATATTTCACCGGGTTCAGTTATTACTTTAGCTGACCTTTAAAAAAGGAAAAACACATTTACTGCACTTAGTTCAGTTTTGAATCAGTAGGTCAGTGCTGGCTGCTGTCAGAGCTGGAAGTGAAATGCCTTGCTCAAGGACACTTCAGGAAACATTTCTCATGTATGTATGCATGTATCCCCACCAGATATGTCCCAGCCAGTCTAAAAACTCAAACTAGTGACTTCCTGGTTATATATTTTGCTTCTGTAACCAGCCCGAGACCACAACACCAGTGACTTTCCTCAGAGAAATTCCAGCCCTTTAAGCCCAGAGCAGAACTCCTGGTACACATCATCTATTCACATTGAAATAAAATTGAACACTATGGAACATACAACTAGTCTCCTGTACAGGTTTGGTCCAGTCACTCAACACGCAGCTGACCTGCTGCTCCCTGGAACTGGAGTGTATCTGATTTAATCAGTGAGCTGCTGGCAACTGGCTGACGATAACACAGTCAGACTGATCTGAGGTGAGTTGATTTTGGCATCTTCAGCATCATGTTTTCCAGTAAGAAGCTGGCAGTCAAAACAACTTGGCGAGAATCTATCCTTCTCCTCCAACACCTGGATGAACAAAGAACTTCAAACTTGACCCAGCTCAACTCTGATCTGCAGAATGAACACTAAATAAATGCCAATTTATCCACTTATAGTTTCCTCAATCAAAGTTGTATATTTGGACCACAAACCTATGGCAAGGTCTGAACTCTACCCTAAATCATAAAAGCCATAATCCAATATGGCGCCACAATAAGGGCATCACTGGTGACTCCTATCGGCCATCTTCACAGCAGGAAGACAATTTACACAACATTGTTGTGAAACTTAGGATAATTGAGAAAACGCCACAGCTGAGTAGTGTTTACTGCAGAATGTAGCAGGTGCTTATGTCAGAAAGAACTCACAAGGCTTCCATATTTAGCTGTTACTGATCATATATACTTATAATATTAAAGGATTTTTGCCCTTACTGACAGCAAATAACACACACACACACACACACACACACACAGACCTACAAGTAATTTATGCATGAATGTATGTATATTATACTAATTGTCTATACAGTTTCTACATTAATGTACTTTAGCATTCTGTACTAACGTATATGCACTGACAAGCTTTAATCACACTATTATTTAAACGACAGTCTAAAAAGGTAAAGTCATAACAAAACATCAGTTTAATCGTTTTAAAGATTAAGAAATATTTTTTGTTGTTCAGTGTCTTTCTCAAGCTGTCTCGCCAACATATGCAATGTATTCTCATTTTTTGGAGCTGTGAGGACCTCCTCCATTTCCTTTGTGCATTACATTGTGGGCCAAAAATCCAGTGGATGGATTTCCATGAAATTCTGTAGAGGCATTTATGGTCCCCAGATGAGCCATCCTAATGACCATGGTGATCCCCTAACCTTTCATCTAGTACTATTGGCAGGTTGATATTTTTGGCTATAAAACGTGGTGCAGACATTCATGGCCGTTTTTAAGATGAATTGTAATAACTTTGGTTATGACTATGACTTTTCATGAAGGGTACCACCAAAGCTTTAATGCTAATTAAAAAATATCAGCAGGCTAACAGACTAAATTAGTAGGAGGATATTTTAAACATCACCTGCTAAGCATAAGCATAAGCAGTGCCACCATGAACATGTTAGCATGCATATGTTTCAGTCTCACAAAGCTGCTGAGTGGTTGTAGAGTAGACCCTTACCAACATGAGCACACTACTGTACAGTTGCTAACCTCAGTGGGATTTCCTTGGTTAAATAAAGGTGAAATAATTTTTTTTAGTATAGAAGGAGAAATTGTCACTGCCTATGCCTGAATATTTCAGTTTTATACCTGGGGGAAAAATGGTTACAATGTCTCCCTAAAAGTGATGCAGAGTCCTAATCACACCGTGTGTAGAACTGCAAATGAAGTGTTCTAAACTTTGAGTTTTGCAGTACAACACAAGAGTTACTGTTCTGAACTTGTGTACAGTAGCAGTAGCACTGGGCTTCTGTGAGAAACAGTGAACAGAATAACAAGCTGGGTTATGGAAGACTGCCAGTAAAGAAACCTTTTCATCATTCCATGACCATTTCCTGAGAAAGAAAATGGACTGCAAAATATATTAAAAGTGTCATGGGTTTTAAAGTTTTAAAGCAACACTCAGTGGATTGACAGGCCAACTCCTGCATGAGTGAATGAACTAAACTCAGCCTAATAATAATAAAACAACACCATAAAACAACTATATTCTTTCATTCTTTTTTTTATTTCAGTTCCACCCTTCACTGAGACATTTTATTAATGATAGGACATGAGGTAGCATGAACGAATTAACACTGGACATGAATGTGTGTGTGTGTGTTCAGCTCCACCCATCAGCAGTTGATTGCTGATCTAGGTATTATAAAAGAGGGTAGAAATCACACAAAGCCGTATGTGTGTGAGAGAACACCACATAAATTGATTATTCACCTGCATGCCAAACATAAGGAGAGGAAGATAAACACTCACAACCCACACCCACACACAAACACAAAACACTGGCAATGACATGTGAATGTTTTTGTTTGCAGTGAACATGCTTTACTCTTTCACACATGAACACAGTTTTTAAAGGTGTCTGCGCGCTCACTGTGTGTGTGTCGTGTGTGTGTCTACACAGTGTCAATCTCATGCAGAGTTCAGGACACTTTGGGTGAGGAAACAGTAGATTCATTTATATGAAAGTGGATCTCTGAAAAGTTCTATATACAAACATCATGCAAGCATATACATACACACACACGCACATACTGTATATACACACAAACTATGCAAAATTTGTATCCATGCTGGGGAAAAAAAAAAAAAAGAAAAAAAGAAGGAAAAAGGTATTGTAAGTGATCATGATATCCAATTACTAACATTATATGAAGGCTATATGATCCAAACACCTACTTGTAGCTCTCCAGCTGGCGTGCTGAGGACACAGTGAGGAAGCTGTCTGTTCTGGGGTTGTAGACCAGTGGGCCAGGCAGGAGAAAACCAGGGAGGAACCTGCCGAAGGAGTAGCTATCCTGCTCAAAGAACATCAGCATACCATCCATTGACTGGATACACAGGGAGTGGTGGCCTGATAGAGAGAAAGGAGGGAAGACAGAGGAAACCATCCAGTTGCTGATACTCCATACAGATTACACAGGAAGCGCTGACATACTGTACTAGTCTGGTAAATTTTATATTATGCTAAAGAATATGAAATGAAGAAAGAATATGAAGTATGTGAAATATCCATTTTCCAGGTGTAAAGTGTCTTAAACCTACAAAAATGTTCAAAGTACAGGTTTCTCACTGGTGGTACATTATTGGAGTACCACATACCCTATGCACACTCCCTGTGACTTAATTACTAAAAAGGTTGATTAATCAGTTAGTTGAACAATAAAAAGTAAGAGCTGTAAGAATTTTGATAATTGTTATTTATCAAGGATCCACTCCTGTTTATCCAACATTACTACTTGCTACTTTCCTCTGTTATATAATTATAGAGTGAATATCTCTGGATCTTCAGTTGCTAATTGAAGAGTCCGTCTTAAAGTCTATCAAGTTTTGGTGGCCATTTTTCAGTGTTATGCATTACAGATTAACTATTAATAAAATAATCTTAAATTGTAGTTTGATATTAATCTGGCTTCATTTTAAATTCAATAATCACACAGTTATACCGATTCCATGCAGCAATTGGTCAGGTGTTTGGAAGTGTGAAAGTAGACAGGGTTTCCTCTCCTAAGCGCTCCCTTTTCAGTCTACCTCCACCTATTACGTCCATTATATTTTGGGGAAACACCACCATAAATGTCTTTGAGGAGCGACAACCTAAAACCGTGCTCTGTTATCCCTATTTGAACGGTTCATCAACCTTTGGACAAGGACAGACAGTACAACAAACAGTCCAGTTCAAGTGAAGCACAGAGTACTGAGGCCTTTTCACAGTGTTGCACTTTTCTCTCAGAGACAGTTTATGCAAGAAAAACTAAATCAAACCAGCTGACGCTTATAAACTCAGTTTGGCAGTAAAGGGAATTTAAGTTGGATAAAGTGTTCAATATGGATAAGGAGAATTACTGCTGACTAAAAAAGCATTCAAATTTCTGAGTTACATAATCAGCTTTATGACAAGTCAGACTCTGCTCTGTCAAACACTTGAGTATTTAAAGGCAATTACCAGTGAACCTAAATGACATTCATGGCTTCTGTTCCACCTCCACTGTGCTGTTGTGTTGTGCTGCAAGAGGTGTTTCTCCCTCTGACTGAATGTGATATCTCCATTAACACCTCTGAACACACACACACACACACACACACACCTGGCTCTTGGGATGAACATGTACAAATGTGTGTTTGTTAGGAAAGTCCTGATGCAGGACTCACTAAGTCCTAACACACAAATACACAACCATAAAGCAGTAGGGGCTGTGTGATCAGAGAGCTATAATTAGGCCTCTAAGCAGTACTAAAACTGACACTGCCATCAACCAGAGGTCAGGGAGACAGCCATCTAAAACACAACATACACACACAGCATCTATCACTAAGATTCTGGACAGAGAACCCACACGCTACTCGTGTGGTCGCTCATCAGTCAAACACACACTTTTGAGTGATGAGCGGAGTTCAGGGTGGCCATTAAGCATGCTGACGAACAAGGTCTCTCACACCACAGACACACCCTGTGAATGTGTGTAATGCAGTGTTTGATAAGGAGCCAGCAACAAATCTGAGGGCGTATGTCTGCATAGGGTGGATCTACATTCATGTGCGAGGTGGTGTTGCAGTGTGTGTGTGTTGTATCAACTGCTCTATGCACTGTTGTTAAAAAACACAGCGTTTCTTGGAGACCAGACACATTGTGTTCAGCTCATTATCTGTCAAGAGTGTCTGCTGTCACTGTCCTTTGATTCTGCAGGTATATATATATATACAGTATATACACACACACACACACACACACACACACATCTCAAAAGCCAATTTATTTTCAGCTAATTTAGACTGTACTAAACAGTATCTGGTCCGAAATGTTTCTATTAGTCAGAAAAACATTTTCAATTTGTCTACATACAATTCAACATACACTGTATAATTAATATAATTTCCAGTTAAGTAAATTAACAATGTCAGAACGTTGTCACTATCCCTATAATTATACAGAGTCCCATACTTTAAAGGAAATGTTAAAAGTATGAGTAGGAAATTATTAAGAGATAAAATAAAGGATTACAGTGTTTTCAAAATCTTAATTATATCCAGAACTCCTTAAAGTATATTAGTTGTGAGCAGCAAATTTTAACTGGGAACAAGGGCCTGTGGTGTAGGATTACAACAACAACAACAACAACAACAACAACAACAACAATAATAATATTAATATTAAATTAAACCTCATTCTATTTTTTTTTACCAGCCATTGTCCTCTTATTGACAGAACATGCCTCTAAAAACAGCTGGGTACCTGAGGCGTGAGCTTGCTCCCCGACAAGCATTTCTGCCAGGTGTCTGGTGGTCATTTCCACCCTGAGAGCAGCGTGAGGGTCAGAACAACATGCACTCAGACAGCCTGACACAGCGCTGTATCATCAATAATAAGAAAAGTGCTACATACTGAAAACAAGAGCCTGGGTGAGCAATAATAGCAACTGTGCACGTGTGCCTACGCCCAAAGAGTCAAAGAGCCCAGTATGAGAGCGCAGCCATTCAGACACAGCGGAGGAAACAGGCCTGTCTTAGTCTCATTAATAAGACGTGTTGAGCAAGCACACAGAGGAGCCAACCAAGTACAGAGGCTGGCCACGCTCAGCACTGGCCCGTGTGTAGGTACATAGGAGTGTGTGTGTGTGTCCTTACATGCTTGTGGACCAGGGAATGTGTGTGCCAGTTTCTTTTGTGTATGGGTGTACATACATGTGTGCTTGTGTGTCCACGTGTGCATTTATGTGTGTATAACCAAAGATTAAAAAAAGGCCAGTCTATGCTGAGCATGTGTGTGGCCTGAACGTGACCCAAACCCAAAGGCGGCCCAGCTATTAGAGCACTATTAGCACAGAGCTGCTATTACTGCACTGCTAAATGGTTGCTATTATAGACCCACATAGATACACAAGCCTGGTCTTACTATAGCTGCAAGGATACACTAGCATAATGTGTTTCCTAGCCCCTTAACCTAAACCTAACTAACCACAACCCAAAATCCTCAAACAGCCCTTTGAAGTTGTGAGGACTGACACAAGTTTCTTCACAATATGGTTTCCAACTGAAATCTGTCCCAAAGACCATAGAATGACACGTGTACACACATACATACAGATTCACATGTAAGAGCAGATGCAACTTGAAAAAGCTCTCCAAAACACATAATGTACATGCTTGAGGCTTTCCAAATCCAAACACACACTTTGAACAATGGCGAGCAAAGGGCTGAAGAAACAGGCACAAACGTGAAACTACATATTCAAAAATTCAGCTGGCCTGGCCTCAGAGCTCTGACCATCATGAATATATTTCTGTATTTGTACGTAAATATGTGCTTTTGCATACAGTGCGTCTGCAAATCATTATGCGTGTGTGTGTGTTTCAGCCAGTGAACCATGAGATCATCTCATTTTCATGTAAACTGTGAAATTGTGAGGAAAGCTCCACCAGCGAGCAGCGTCCCCAACTCAGACACGCTCAGATTATCCCAAACAGCTTTTCACACTTTAACAAGACCAAGACAAATAAAAACACCCCCTCTGTATCAACAATGTCAAATAAAACATGTGCATCTGTAACGGTGGAGTGAAGGAAATAAAGATTCTTTCACCATAAAGTTGAAACACTGCAGCAGTTAAACACAGCAATACTAGGTTTGTATAAAAACACAAGCAATGTGAAGAAAGCTTCGACACTAGAATGTGCTTACTAGAAAGCTCTACATAAGCAGGAAAAAGAAGCAGGAAATAAATGTAAGGGGTGGCAAGATAACTGGGAAATGAAATAAACTTAACTCCATTCAGACTTTCAACAGTGTATATTTGTACATGATTTTGACATTTTGACACTGGGTTTTCAAACCATAAAGGTGAATGAAAATTAAATGCTAAATCAATGCAGTGTGCTTACTGGAGGGTTTACATCTAGACATCACATTCCTTTATATTTTGCAAACTGATCTTGTATGTAAAAAAGTTCTTCCTGCTAATTTCCTGCTTTAAGCCATTTTACTTTTCTCTTTTTACTTTCATTATAGCTACATTTCTACTTTGTCAGTTACAATATTTGCCTTGTTAGTATAATGCTACCTTTTAATCCTCTCATCTAGACCCAAAAAAGACATGGCCTGACACCTAAAATCTGAGTTTAAAAATAGTTTTACAAGTCTCAAATGTTATATGTAGAGTTTTTCTTGAGCCTAGCTGAATTTCCCCATTGTACTGAAGTGTATGAAGACACTGAATCTCAACCAGATCCAGAGGTGCCATACTGCAGCTGAACTCTGGCCCACTGATGAGAGGACCCTGCTGGACAAAAGGGACTTTCCCTGCAAGACAGGATCCAATTCATTCACACTACAGAAACAGCAATTCCAGGGCCTGCACTGCCATCTAGAGGTGACAACAAGAGGGAGTAAGAGGATAGAGAGAGAGAGAGAGAGAGAGAGAGAGAGATGACAGACGAGAGGGCCTAATGTTTGTCTGTGTGTGTTTACGTATGTGGTTATATGTGCGAGTATGCAAGGCTACATGAGTTGTGTGCTGCTGCATTTTTATACACTTATGTTGTATGTGGATCAATGTATCCATGCAAACCTGTAAGCATGCACACGCCAGAGACAAAGACAGCATGCGAGCGCGTGCTTGTGGGAGACAGAGTGTGTGAGAGCTCGCATGACATCTCCAAAATCTGCTGTGCCGTGTGGTGTGACTAGAAAACTACACGTGAAAACAGACTATGCACGTGCACTCAGCACAGGCCAAGCAACTGGTTTTAATGAGCCCACACTGTTCTATCAATCAAACACACACACACCTACACTCAGTAAACATGGAGTGAATGAAGGGCCCATGATGCCAAGCCACAGAGTCTGGCAGTTTCTCTCCTCACACACACACACACACACACACACACACACACACACACACACCTTTTGACCATACAGGCTTTATTTGGAAATGCAGTTTTCTCTGTTTTAAATGGGGGTTCCCCGTGTGAGTGTGTCTGTGGGTGCGTGTTTTTCTTGGATGCCGACTACTTGAGGGCTTTCCCCTACTTATTTTTTCCAAAAAGCCCAAATGGCTGGAGAGAGACCTCTCTCTCCTTTACTCCACTTAGTGACTTTTATGTGTTTGTTCAGCGTTGCCAAAAATCGCTTTTGCCAAGAGACATGCACTGATATACACACATGTTTGTACTTCTATACTTGTGAGGACCATCTTTGAAATAATACATTCCTTAGCCCTAACCTAAAATCTGACATTTAAATATTTAACCTGAAACTACAGCTAACTCTATCCTAAACCCTAAAACCAAGTTTTAACTCTGAAATAACCCTTAACACTCAGCCCAAACCGATGACAGACCACTGCCCATCAATTTGAAAAAATGTCAGTTGGCCCTCACAGAGATAGATGCACAAGAGTAGATACACACAGCTGGTAAAACAGTAAAAGTACTATTAGCCACTGTTTGTGGAGGACAAAGGTTCTTTTCTCAGGATTTCTGCTGGTGTCATCAAGTTAAATTTAGGACTTTTAGGATCTTTTTTTAGATCCCTTTGGATACAATTTAAGACCCATTTGACATCTATACAACGAACATACAAAGGATATGAAGAAAAACTATTTGAGTATTCTGGTTGGATACAAATAAATTACTCAGATGTTTGCAGCTACAGTGTGTGAAGCACACACATTGGTATTAATATTGGCCAAACAGTGTGCAGGAGGTCTCTTAACGGGCCTTGATAACGCCAGTGTTAACACAGAATACTGTTTGATGGCAGGAGTTCTGACATCTAATGTGACTCCAGTGCCTTTATGCCTAAAGTTTCCTTTCACATGGTTCTGTGGGCTGTTGTGTTTGAGCAGCTTCAACCAAGCACTGAATGAGCCGTTTTCATCTAGGTCTCACTGAATTTGCACCTCCACATATTACCACAGTAACAAAAACAACCACTTATGGAAATAATCAACTTAACCTAAGAATCATCATTAAAATGGTATTTACCATAAGACTTTTTAAGGCCTAAATTTCTGAACTCACAGAAACTCTGAAGCATTTAAAATGCCGGTCATACCTGTGACTCCCCCAAAGGTGCCATAGGTCATGTTACAGGCCGTCCTCTGCAGGTTGTGTTGGTACACCAACTTCAGTTGGTATTGAGAACCATGTTCCACGTTGCCTGCGGTGCCTTCCCACACACACAGATCAGAAACAACCAGTCTAAATGCTGCTTTTGAATGAATGATGAAAGCAGAAAACAAAAGGGGAAAAGCACCTGACTGCTCACTTCAATCTGTGCGTGTTACCTGAAACAGAGTACACTGACAGCTTCCTGGGGTGGAGAACAGCCAGATGAAGAAGTTCCGAACACCTGAAAAGAGAACAATCAGTCCTCTTACATGACAGTCACCATACAGCCACAATCAGAAATTATGATCAACAGCATTAAAACTGATGTTCAATAATATAATAGCCAACAGAACAGAAACATAATGAAGCATGCACACTATAATGTATGTCTGCCATGCCTCAGTTTCCTGATTAATTTTCCTGTTCATTATCTTGGATTACAAACCTTTGGAAATGAACACAGATGCTGAAGTTTTGAGCTGAAGTTGTGAACAAAACCAATCAGCTGTTAGATGGATTTCGAGGTTTTAAACAGTGGTTACAGAGCTGCAGCTGGTGATGATTTCCTTCCTTCCTCAAAGACACCTCAACAGGGCGGATGTTTCCTGCCACTGTGGTTGAAACCATGTTCTTAACTAAGGAGGAATATCCATTCATGTTTTCACTCATAAATCCAAATAATTACTGTAAAAACAGATGTTTTTTGGTCATGGCTGTGGTGTAAGATGCCACAAGTTTTCTTTATTCCTCAAAAAGCCACTCAAGTTACGGTGCTGAAACAAAGTCTTTCATCGTCGGCCCACTTTCATCTGCCCTGACAACATTTACAAAGTGCTTCTCTGTTGAGGCCAGCTTTCAAAATGCCCACCTCTTTCTGAAGAATCCTGTGCCAAAGACTGGTAGGTAGCTAAACATGCCATTTTCCCCAAACAAACTGATTTGCTGGATTCCACTCCCAGTGTGATGATGTGGGAAGTCTTCAAGGCAAACCAGTAAAGGTTCTCCCAGCAAGCCATACCTTCCAGGATGTTCATGTGCACAGTGAGGCTAATTTAAGTCAGTCCCCTAAATAGCTAAATTGATAAGGGAATTCATGTGTTTATGTCTACTTTACTGTGTATTTCAAAGTTAGACTGGCTTAAAGAACTGAGTGCACACCACAGCAAAAAATAGCTAGAAAGTTGTTTTGTTTTATTTGTGTGTGTGTGTGTGTGTGTGTGTTTGTTTTTACCAAATTTGAAGCTTTGCAACTTCATGCTCACATCCCAACTGAACCACATACTGTAGGCATGGATGTGCAAATTTAAAAAAAGATACTATAAATCATCAATTTTAAGCAGGTAGATCAAAATGAAATGAAGGTACATACTCATAAAACATTTGTGTTATCTGGAACAATAGGCATCGTCTCAGAACAAAGGCCAAACACTTATTTGTTCTTCCCTTGAAGATTTAATTAGTAAATGGAATAATACTTCAGGCACTGTATGTGGCCACCGTGGCTGTAAATGCTAGTTATGTTAAGATATCAGCACACTGATTTCCCTTCATCTCTCACTCTTGTTGCTGTAACGGTATAATGATTAGCCACTGTATCACCACAAACCCTGTCCTAGCACATCACTTCTCTTCCATTTCACCTCCTCTTCCCCACTGTCACAGAGTTTTGGCTGTGAGAGGTCACTTAATCGTCTTAACTCCAAAACAAGTCAGGATTACTGGAGACATCTGTATATCTCACAGTACAAAAACAAAGCAAGATGGGCCCTGTGGGTTCTGACAACTATGCTGGGAACTCAATGGTTAGACTGGCGTTATGAGCACAGCTATGTCTGGACCGCTGGGTGGCTGATACAGCATGGTAAATCATGAGGAAGGAGAGACATCCTGACATGGTGGTTTTGGGTTAGCATACATTGCAGAGGAAAAAAGACACATTGGCGCGGTCGTAAGTCACAACAAGGATGTTTTTTTTTCTATGAGACAGCGGTGTAATGAGTTATGATCGGGTGTTTCTGCCCACCAGTTTAAAGTGAGGCTATATTATAAATGCTTATAAATCACAGAAGGTCATGACACAGAGTTAAAAAAAGACCTGTGATTCAACCCAGGCAGCAGAAGACATAGGCAACACAAACAGAGATATGACCAAAGTACACAGATCAGCTGTCCTGTAATCTGAAAGGTTCTGTTCCTGCAAAAGACCAACAATACCTGCTCACCAGACATGTCAAATAGAAGTAATAAATGAATGCCTGCAGTGTTATTCTGATTTTTGTATCTCAACTCTTCATTGAAATAAAAACTTTAAAGATGCACTAATCAACATGTTACTAACAACAATGGATCTAATGATTTGGTGCAATGGGACCAATTATCATGATATTTATCACCAACTCTCTTTCAGCCCATTATTTTGGTTTTTACGACCTGCAGCTTTAACAACTGTTTTTTTGCTAAAAAGGTTTAATAGCCCCACTGTAAGTTAAATATATCAGACAATGTGTGACTAGAGGGTAAACACAATGGGAGGTGGAGGATGCAAAATGTCTGTTAATATAGACAGCTATAGTTATAGATAACAAAAAAATATTACAATATCCCACACACATAACCAGCATGCTCTGAGAGTAACGTAGTAAACAAAAACATGAACTACTTGGTGGCTCAGTCTTCTCAAATGTGAGTTATTGCTCCTTTCTCTACTTTATGTTATTACTTCTGCAAGGCGAAGCTCTCGATTTACTGGTCGATCTACGTTCCAACTCTCACCTATGGTCATGAGCTTTGGGTCATGACCGAAAGGGCAAGATCCCGGATTCAGACGGCCAAAATGAGCTTTCTCCGCAGGGTGGCGGGGTGCACCCTTAGAAATAGGGTGAGGAGCTCAGTCACCCAGGAGGAGCTCAGAGTAGAACCGCTGCTCCTCCACATCAAGAGGAGCCAGCTGAGGTAGCTCGGGCATCTGTTTCGGATGCCTCCTGGGCGCCTTCCTGGGGAGGTGTTCCGGGTATGTCCCACCGGGAGGAGGCCCCGGGGAAGACCCAGGACACGCTGGAGGGACTGTCTCTCGGCTGGCCTGGGAACGCCACAGCATCCCCCCGGAGGAGCTGGAGGAAGTGTCTGGAGAGAGGGAAGATGGATGGACGGATGGACGGATGGGCTTCTGCCATGGTTTTATTAGCTTTTGTTTGTTGGTCAGTTTGTTCACAGCATAAGTCAAAAGGTAATGAATGGATTTGGATGAAATCTTTTCCACAGAAAAATCAATTACATTTTGGTGGTGATCCGGATTGTCATCTGAATTCAAAAGTTTTTTTAAAAGGATTCCTCACCATTGTGAGGTAGGGCCGATTGCAGTATTTTTCTTCAATAACAACCGAAGAACAATAATAATAAGAGTCAAGCTATCATTGGAATATTGCTTTTAGGCAGAATGACATTATATGGAAACTGAGTGGCCTTAGTGGAGGTTTGTGCTCTCTGAGTGCTGTCTAGCTGTACACTGTCTGGGATTCACTGCAAGTCAGACAAACCAAGCAGTGTGAAGACAACACTGTAAGTAAGGGAAGTTATGACGGGCATTTTGTAAAATCATTTTTCTGACATTTATAGACTACAGTGATTAATCAATTAATTGAAAACATACATGGAAAACTAAATAAGTTTTAAGCATCAGTTGCAGCCCACAATTGTTATATGATATGATGTTTGTATGTATCTAATACACTAGATCCTTTGTGCCGTCAACTCTGTTAGAAGAGTCTAATAAGTTATTTGTCTTAAGACAGAAAGGTATTCTTGAGACAGTGATTTAAGGTCGCTTCTTGTCAGAGGACATTAGGTTAATGCCAGTTTGACCTATAAAACACTAACACGTACAAGAAGGTAGCCAAGAGGGCTGCATGGAGCACTGCAAGACTTGTGCTGACTTGGTTTATCAGGAGCAGCACCATGTTAAGACTGAAACCAACAGCAGAAAGAGTAGAATCCCCTTAGTGTCTAAATACTGTACTACATATGGATTTATCTATTTGAAGTCATAGGAACTGAACCATATGACACAGAGGGACTTCATCTAGAGGAAGAAATACCACAAACTACCACCATGCTGCAGTGCACCTTTCTAACCCTTTGGTGACCTCAGTTCAGATTTTTACAGTCTACTCACGAGACAAACTTGCCCACTTCTACTTGGATGATGGCATTTTGAAGCTGGACTTCCAGAAGGTTTGCATCAGCCGACCCCCCCTCACCGGACTTGCTGACATGTGGGGAGAAAATCCGCAGCATCCCTATGTAGCTGCCCACCACCACCTTGTCTGCACAATTAAAATGATAGAAGAGGAAAACTGTAAGTAGAATTTTAATATCTTTCAAAACGAGTTACAAAGTGCTTCAGGGCACAAAGATTGATGTTATTAGTCAGGATGGAAATTATTTATGAATCACTTCAGGGCTATGTGCACGCAGACACTACTTCTGTCCTGATAGCCTAAACAGCATAATGGTGACACATTCTATTACATTACTGATTTGTGTGTCACTACCACACTAACATACACCACATTGATGTTCTGTGTAAACATGGCTCCATGAATCACTATAAACAAACCAAGTCCAGTGCCACTGTTGTCCACATCTCCAATACACAGGCACCCCTGGTCAAACTCCTCCCCCTCGCCAAGCACTGCCGACCACCACTCACGAGCCTTGAACAGGGACATATTGCCTCTGATTGGACAGAGAGAGAAAGGGTTAGACTGTTGTGAATAAGATGTACGCATATGTTGCTCAGCAGGACCATTAGCCAAAAAAGCTCTGCTTCTGGGTTTCTTGTGTTGCACAAACTGCCATGCGCATTACTGTTTTCCACAACTGACTCTGCGAGTGCATTCCCGCTTGGCCCACAAACTTTACATTGATATGGTGTTACAAAAATAAAAACTCATTTTTCTATGTTCTGGGAAGATTTCACAAATACAGCATTTCTTTGGACTAAAACAACAAACAAATAATCATGTTTACAGTGACGATGTCCTGTCAAGAGTTTTACAGACATTTTTTTTTATAATGATGGTCTATGGAGAAAATGCTTTTTGAGACTCAGAGGCAGCACCATATCCAGCTCTCTTAATATATCCATGGCCAGCCAAGAAGACTCTCAGCACTCTGTGCACCACACTGACACCTGCAGCCAATGGCAGAGCAGAAGGCTGGTCAGATGAGCCCAGGACTGATAGTGTGAGCACTAAAAAAAGACGTGAGGAAGGGGAAGAGGAGGCAAGCAGCTTTTCTACATACTAATCCAGGCAAAGAGAATCACTCCTGTCTACAGTAGCTGTTAAAGGAATATTACACCTTCCACCACCAATATATTCCATAAAAGAGCAATTTTTTGAATGTGCTGAGGGAGGCTATTGGGGAGGGAAATTGAGAGATTCTCTGCAATTTCTTTTTATTATTAAACCTCAAGCCTATTACACTGGCTAAAACTGACTAAAACTGAGTGTGTTTACATGTGAACTACAGCCCTGGTTATGATCAAATTTTTTTTGAGTATCTGGTTGTCTGTTGAACAAATTATCATATATAATTTTGAAAAAACTGCACATGCTACCTGGAGTACTCTAACAGAAACTAGGATACTGTGGCATGTAAACGCCTTATCCTGATGTCTCAACAGTTTTTTTTCCATGTTCACTGTAAACATCTTATCCCAGTGATGTCTCAACAGTTGTTTTCATGTTCACTGTAAACATCTTATCCCAGATATAATCAAAAATAGGATAAGGGTGACAAATTATAGCACAGCAAAGCAGATAACTAGATTCCCTCACTGTAGCGGCTGGGTTCATAGACATAACATTAAAAATGGTTTGATAATGTCCATCACAGTACATTGTACTGGAAGTCAAACTGGAACTGTCATTTACAGATAGAGAAACTATTTCAGATAATCCAGTAAGAAAAGTTGCCTTTTATTTGCTTTATAGTCTTAAGTACATGTGTGTAACACTCCACGACATTAAAAGGTAAGGAAGTTACTTCTGCAAGTAAAAGCTACAGTACAGACAAGAAAGATAAACTAACCATGTAACTGGCTGCTGTATTTGTTGCTTGGTATTCAACTGTATACGCTCTTGGGCTTTGCAAGGACAATGGCAGTGTTGTTCCCGGTACTTTTTACCATACTGACTCTGAGAGACGAGGCAGTCCAAGTAACTACAAAACAGTGCTGATTTATTCCATGAACACAGGTAAAAATTAACATTACACGCTCAGGCATCTTGCACCTCCAAACTGCACGCAGGCAGCTTGAAGATGAAAGACCCTGAACCCACCAGGCCTATACATTATATC